TGAAAGAAAGGGCCAGAAAGAGGTTTGCCTATGGGTCTTGCTAGCAAGAGGCTATCAGGATCAAGAATTATATCCTGAGTCATTTCCTAGTCATGATTTATATCCTGTTACTTCTCTAATAAACTCAGTAATTGCGAGTATTGTCTATGAGTTCTGTGTGGCCACTGCAACAGAATTACTGAACCCAGGAGAAAAGTAGTTCCATGGGAGGAGAGCTAATGTCAGAACTGGTGAATAAGTTGGAGGTAGAGATAGAAAGATGAGGCTTTCTACTCCCGTAAAGATTTACACCCTCGGAAACCCTGTACAGGGTCGCTATGAGTCGGTTCCGACTCCACGGCACATAACAACAACAACAACAACAACAACAGAGATAAGCTTGACCTTCACTTCACAGGAATCTGCCTTGGGCAGTTAATGCTGATAAAGATTCCGTCTCCCCCTTGTAAAGTGAGAGGTGGTTAGATGGTTCTGCCATGCCATTTTCACTGGTGTCAGAAACCCAACTGGAAGTAGTATAAGCAAAGAAAGAAACCCATTATAAGGATATAGTGATGTCTCATAGAACCCAAGAACAAGAAAGAGTTTGAGCCTCAGGAAGAAATAGAGTCAGGAACTCAAGTTTAGTCACAAACATTCCTTACCTTTTCTAGTCCAGCTCCCAGTGGTATGTAAACATTTAAAGTAAGCCAGCTCTTGCTCCAGAGAAGCTGGTGTAGGAGGATGTGTGCTAGCACCTGGGGCTGCTGCAGCCCCTACCTCCCTCCAGTTGCCCCGCAAAAGACATCTCTCCAAACACAAGGTGTTTACAGAGATGTATACAGTATATATATATTAATTTAATTTTTTTTTTTTTTTAAACTGACCTGCCTTTTCTTATTCAGGTCCAACATGCCTAAAGTTCTCGACTTCCCATCATTTTTCTCTGCAGACCCAGAAGACCCTGCCTGTGGCTTGGCCCATGACACTTGGTCTCCAAGTGATACAAGTCTCCAAGTGATACAAGTATTCATCATGCTTTTGTTAGTTTCTTCTTCTTTTTCTTCTTTTCCCAAAGAACTTAGAAAATAAAAATTTGAAGGAAAAAAAAAGAGGGAGCCAGTTTTTTTCTTTCTAAATTAACTTCTAAAATTCCCAGAAAAGGATAGTGATTACATCAGGTTCTCAATTTAAGATCAGTAACATTTTGACATAGGAGAGTCCTACTGCTCTGGTAGTGTAGTGGTTACAAATCGGGATGCTAACCTCAAGGTTGGCAGTTCAAAACTACCAGTTGTTCCACGGGAGAAAGATGAGGCTTTCTGCTCCCGTAAAGATTTGCAGCCTTGGAAACCCTGTCCAGGGTCACTATGAGTTGGAACTGACTCCACAGCACACAACAACAACAACACTGTAATAACACAGACATTTTCACAATAACCAGGCAGATGGTGTGGTGGCGATGGGGGGGCAGGGGGTGGAAATTAAATTACAGTTTTCTGGACAGACAAATCTGTTAGGTTCTCGCTTTGTTATTCGCTACTGTTGTCTAGCTTGAAGTCCAAGCTTCTTAGACTAGCATGCATATTGTTGTTGTTTGGTGCTATTGAATGGGTAATGGGTTCCGACCCGAAGAAATCCTGTATAGTTTCCAAGGAAATGCTTGTAGGTTTGAACCACCGACCTTGTGGTTAGCAATCCAATGCTTATCACAGAATACCATACTAGGACTCCATGTGTTGTTGTTGTTGTGAAGTGCTGTTGAGTTGATTCCGATCCATAGTGACCCTGTACATGGTTTCCAAGGAACAGCTATTGACCTTGAACTGCTGCCCTTGCAGTTCAAACGGCTATGTAGTCTGGTGCATTAACCCACAGCACCACACCAGCACTCCAGGACTCCATGTGTAGACCTTTAAGATCTCTTGTTTATCTATCTGTCCTCCTGTATCTTGTGCAGAGAAAAAGGCCCTAATTCTATGGTGCTCTAGGATAAGCACTGGGCTGCTAACTGCAAGGTCAGTGTTTCAAACCCATCAGCTGTTCCTCAGAAACCCTACACATGGTTGCTACGAGATAGGTACTCACTCACCAGTACTTAATACCAACATCAACAAAAAATTTTGTTAAAGGAAATTAATGAAATTAGCGTAGTGGTGACAAATCGGGCTGCTAACCTAAAGGTCAGTGGGAAACTACCAGCAGTTCCGCTGGAGAAAGATGAGGCTTTCTGCTCCCGTAAAGATTTACAGCCTCTGAAACCCTGTGCAGGGTCACTATGAGTCGGAACCGACTCCACGGTACTTAACGACAACAAACATTAAGTAAATATGTCGTTTGAATGGAGGAGCCAGAAACCCTCAGAGTCTGAAGTTCAGCAATCTTGGGAAGGGGTGTAAAACATACTGCTGTTAACAGTGTGTAAGGTCAGTTAAAGACCGAACAAAGCAAAGCGTGGCCTTTAACGTTACTGGTTGGTTACATGAATAAACCGATACATTGAATAGTTGAAAGATACAATTACAAATGTTTATAATTTTAGAGAGGGTCTTAAACAATTGCAAGATTGTGACATGACACAGATTGTTAAACATTACCTTACCCAGAACATTAGATTTCCTGGTGATCTAAGGCAAAGCATTTGATAAAGTATGGTTCACATTTATAGTCTTTGCCTTACCACAAACCTTAATGATAGGATTGGTTCCTAAGCAACAGGTTTGAATTGTTATGAAATATTAACTCTGAGATTTCAGAAGTAGTTAAGTCATTTTTGGAGTTCTGGTGTAGTGTGTAGGTTCTTATGCCAGTCCCTGTATCTTTCCTTATACACTGAGTACCTTTCTGGAATGCACTGTGTTAGTGATTTCATGTCTGAGTCATTGTACATGTTTTTTCTCTGTCTGAAATACCCTTTCCTTACTAGTCTGCCTAGTAACTTCTACTCATCTTTTAGATCCAATTCACCTTTTACTTCTGGAAGTACTCTAGACTGTCATTGTTGTTGGTGTTGTTAAGTGATGTTAAGTGGGTTCCGACTCATAGTGACCCTGTGTAAGGTTTCTGAGGAGCAGCTGATGGGTTTGTACTAAGTGAAACAAAAAGGGAACAATTAACTCTGCTTATGGCAGTCTAGGGACTTTTGGGGTGTTCCTGTAGGATCAGCACTGGACTGTGACTCACAGCTGCTCCTGGAAAACCCAAACAGGGTAGCTATGAGTCGGAACTGAATCGGCGGCATTAACAACAATGACAAGCATCCCAATCAAAAAACAGGCAGCTGGTCCATTTGTTGTTGCTAAGTGCCGTCGAGTCGGTTCCGACCCATAGCGACCCTGTACAGGGTTTCAGAGGCTGTAAATCTTTATGGGAGCAGAACGCCTCATCTTTCTCCCGCGAAGCAGCTGGTAGTTTCAAACTGCTGGCCTTAAGGTTCGCAGCCCGATTCGTAACCACTACGCTACCAGAGCTGGTCCATAGCCCTCCCTTTTCTCTCCTTTTCTTCTTTCTCTTCCCCTGGTCTCTAGCAATATCAAGAGTAACAGAAGAACATTCTTTTCCTATAGCCCTTCCTCTTCATTCCATTTTCTTTTTCTTCTCCAAATTCTGTTTTGGGCTTGACTTTTCCCATCCTCTAATCTTCATCTAATGGCAACAGTTTCACTTTTGTCTCTGATATTGGATTTTATAGTGATTTGTAAATTCATAGACAGAGAAGGGATCCTTTAAACACTTTCATTTTTAAAAAGAACATTTAGAAAGTTGTTCTGTAATAATTGAAACATAAATTAATGATTCAAATTCTCTAGGTCCCTAGGCTAATTACAGAAAGCCAATCAGACACTGGATTAGGCACTGGGATGCATCAGAATTTCTATTAGGTGGATTTGCAGGATGAAATCTAAGTTTACTTCTTTTACTTCATCTAAATCCACAAAAAAACCCAACAGAAATCTATCTAGATGCTTTGGGAGCATAGTGGTTACGAGTTGGGCTGCTAACTGCAAGGTCAGCAGTTAGAAATGATCAGCTCTTCCGCGGGTGAAGGCAGAAAGCTCCTGTAAAGATTTACAGCCTCGGAAATTCTATGCAGGGTCGCTTTGAATCGGAACTGACTCCAAGGCACACCACCACCAGAGAACAGAGAAGAGTGTTTTGAACAGTGCTTCCAGCGGGTTTTGGGGAATTCAAAACAGATAACCAATGACAATGAGTAATCCTTACTATGCATGACTACGTGGATAATGGATTCGGTTCTGACTCATAGCGACGCTGCACAGGATTTCTGCAAAGGGTTTCTGAGGCTGTAAATCTTTGCGGGAGCAGAAAGCCTCATCTTTCTCCCACGGAGTGGCTGGTGGTTCTAATTGCTGTCGATCTTGCCCAGTTCAGTGATTGTCCTTACAGAGTCACAGCGCTCCCAGGCAGACTTGTTTTTGTTATGTGCCATGGAGTCGGTTCCGACTCACAGAGACACTGTATAGGGTTTCTGAGTCTTTAAATCTTCAGGGGTGCGAAAGCTGCACCCCATGTAGCAGTTGGCAGCCTCGAACCCGAATCTTCCAGCTCCCACTCCAGTGTTTATCGTATAGAGATACCACGCTCCCAGGCAAAGATTAGGAAAAGAATAAAAAGGGTTACATTTTACACGGAAGTGTAAATCTTAAAATAAAAAAGTTACTGAAACATATATTGAAAAAGAAATCCACAGAGAGGATGGAACACTAAATACCTGCTTGGTAGTTCTGGATCCACAAAGCTGACTTTGAGAAGGCTCCACCTACTCCGGGAACTTTCAATTCGCCTAATGCCCTGTCCCTATTTCGCATGCGCACAACGGGCAAACTCTGCGAAACCATTCCGGTCGCCGTCCCCGCCCCCGAATTCCGAACTCCGATTGGCTGTCTTCACTAGACCGCCCCTCTAGCCCGGCCAATGCGGAAGCCGCTAGGGAGCTCCGCTTTCCCCACCGGCGGCGTGCAGTGAGCGGCGTTGCCTGCTAGCTTGGGCAGCGAGTTGCGATGGCGGCTACGGCAGCGAAGGCTAGTTGGCTGTTGAGGCTCCGTGGGGCCGGATCTGATTGCCGATGGATCCGGCTCCCTAGCACGGGGCTGTCGCGTGGCTTCCTGCAGCCCTCCTCGGCCGGCGCAGACGGCTGGGACGCAATCCAGAGGCGGCAGGTTTCTCACTTTACTTTCCAGCCTGACCCGGAGTGCCGAGAGTACGGTGAGCCCAGGGCGCCCCATCAGGTCCCGTGCAGCCTCGACCCCAGGCCCGCGGGCGTTCCCGGTTGGGGCCGGCAGACTGGGCTTGCACCCGTGCCTCAGTCATGCCCGCTTCCCAGAAACCACCGGCGTCAGTGTCTGACGGTGATCACTCCCCACCCTAGTTTTGGGGCAGCTCTTCGGCACCCAGGAGATGGGTGAGAGGGCACTCCACTGTCTAGAAGGGCCGGAGGGTGGAGGGGAGGTCCCTGGAGAACGCCTTCCTTTTTCTGTCTTCCGTCGCTGCTTTCCCAACTCAGGCCTTAGGTGTCTCATTTTGCCCGGGGCTGGTTCCCTAGCTTTACCTAGATGGATCATTAATCTTTATTTTTGACTGCAAATAAGGAGCAGGGGAACTCAGTAACTGAATTGCTTTTCCCAAGGTCACAGAACAGGTTCTTCTTGGAGATAGGAAAGAGTCCAGCCTGCTTCAAAGTGTTCAGTGTGCTGCTAGGCTGTCACCTTGTCAGGAAGGGTTGTCAATGAAGGTGGTTGAAGGAGGAAGCAATTTAGTGCTTGCGAAAGGTAGGAAGGACACCTAGGGATGCACTGTGCAAACCATTCCCTGGATAACTTTTACCATTTTTGTTCTGTACATTTTATGAAATCTGAAAGAACCAGTGTTTGTTAACAGAATAACATGAAACATTGAGAAAACAGTTACCTTTTCCTTGTCCACATGTGTGCCCTTGAGTTGATTATGACTCATAGTGACTAGGTATAGAGTTTTCAAGGAGCAGCTGGTAGGTTTGAACTACTGACAATGCTTATTCCATAGCGCCACACCAGGACTTCTCTCACATGCATGAGCTGACATTATTGGAAAAAGTGTCTCTATTTCTGATCTACAGGAGTGAACTTTACTGAGGGCTTCCCACCACAGGCAGTGTGTTGAGAAATTTACATTCCCATTCTCATTTCATGCTTATGACAACTCTTTCCATTTAGTAGATAGGTTAAGTGAGTTCTTGAGATAGCTTTGTGGCCCTGTCAGATCAGCACTGTACTGCAGACTGCAAGGTCAGCAGTTCAAACCTACCAGCTGCTTCTTGGAAATCCTATACGGGGTTGCTATGAGTCTGAATTGACTTGACAGCATTTAACAGTAACAACACCACCATTGGAAACTTAATTGGTCAGATTCTAGAACTTCTATTCTAGATGACACTGTGAAAATACATGGAGAAATAATTTACTAAGATGTCTCAGTTTTGTTACATGGTAACTAACTTAAAGGTGAATGTTGTTAAGTGCTGTTGAGTCCATTCTGACACGTAGCAACTCTGATAGGATTTCTAAGGAGCAGCTGGTGGGTTTGAACCACTAGCTCTGTGGTTAGCAGACCTTTGTTTATCCTACAACGCCACACCAAGGCTCCTAAAGGTGAATAGCATCTCACTAATAAAATGAATCTCAAATTCTATCTTTAAAGCAAGGAAACTAAAACCATTAGTGCAACATTGGCATGATAAAGCACAGGTCATCTAATCTTAATTATCTCTTTCATAATTGTTACATAACTAATATCTAGGTAAAATGACACCATATTTATGTATCTGTTCTTACTATAACAATAGTATAAGTACAGAACAGCTCATTTGGATAATAGAAAAAAGGTGAATAATTATGTATCACTGTAAAAATTGCTTACATTTTGGGATGTTTCATTCTATTCTTATTGTTGTTGTTAGATGTCATTGAGTCGGTTCTGATTCACAGCAATCGTATGCACAACAGTATGAAACACCGCCCAGTCCTGTGCCATCCTTACAATTGTTGCTATGCTTGAGCCCATTGCTGCTGCCACTGTGTCTGTTCATCTTGTTGGTGGGGGAGTCTTCCTCTTTTCCACTGACCCGCCGTTTTCTAAGAAAGCATAGCTTTGTTCTAGTTAAATGTTTTTTACACTATTATAATTTAAATGTAATTACAGTTTTGCATTTTATGAAAAGTATCTTGATTTATTGCTGTATAGTTTCTACAACCTATGTTTAGGAGATGGCATGCTCCCTGGAATATAGATCCTAAAACCAAAAGAACCCAAACCTGCTGCCATTTGGTTGCTTCTGACAATAGTGAAACTAAATAGGGTTTCCAAGACGGTTTTCCCCACAAAAAGGCTGGTGGGTTTGAACTGCTGTCCTTTCAGTTTGCAGCCCAACACTTAACGTATAGCCCCACCAGGGCTCCTTACAGATACTGTGTTGTTAGGTGCCATTGAGCTGGTTCCAACTCATAGAGAGAACCTATACACAGCAGAACAAAACACTGCCTGGGTCTGTACCATCCTCCCGATTGTTATGTCTGAGCTTAATTGTTGCTGTCGCCGTGTCAGCAAACACCCCCATCTTGTTGGGGGTCTTCCTCTTTTTCGCTGATACTCCACTTTACCTAGCATGATGTCCTTCTCTAGGGATTGGTCCTTACTAACAACTGTCCAAAGTACGAGAGTCAAAATCTTTCTATCCTTTATTCTAAGGAACATTCTGCTTTTACTGCTTCCAACACAGATTTGTTTGTCCTTCTGGCAGTCCATGGTACTTTTAATAGTCTTCTCCAACACCATAATTCAAATACATGGATTCTTCTCTGGGCTTCCTTATTCATTGTCCAACTTTCACAGGCATATGTGGTGACTGAAAATACCATGGCTTGCTTCAGGTGCACCTTAGTCCTCAAAGTGACATCTTTGCTCTTGAACACTTTAAAAAGATCTGGTGCAACAGATTTGCCTAATGAAGTATGTCATTTGATTTCTTGACATCTGTTTCCATGAACATTGATTATGGATCCAAACAAAATGAAATGCTTGATCACATCACTGTTTTCTCCATTTATCGTGATATTATTTATTGGTCCCCTTGTGGGGATTCACATGGAAGTCTTTGGTCTTTGATCTTCATCAGTAAGTATTTCAAGTCTTCTTCAGTTCCAGCAAGCAAGGTTATGTCATCTGCTTATGGAAAGTTGTTAGTGAGTCTTCTTCCACTCTTGTTGCCACATTCGTCATACAATCCAGCCTCTCAGATTGTTTCCATAGCACACAGATTGAATAAATATTATGAAAAAGATAGAACCCTGGCACACACCTTTTCTGATTTTAAACTGCTCGGTATCCCCTTGTTCTGTTCAAACAACTGCCTCTTGGTCTCTGTACAAATTCCTCATGAACACAATTAAGTTTCTGGAATAGCCATTCTTTGAAATGTTATCCATAGGTTGTTGCAATCCACACCGTCAAATGCCTTTGCATTATCAATAAAGCAAAAGTAAACATATTTCTGGTACTCTCTGCTTTCAGCTAAGATTCATCTGATGTTAGTGGTGATGTCCTTAATGCTACATCCTCTTCTGAAGTCAGCTTGAATTTTTGGCAGGCTACTTGCCAATATACTTAAAAAAAAAATGTTTTGTTGTGAATTATGTAATCGTTTACATGGGAGAACATTAGCTTTACATTCATCCTATTGTATATCGTTTCATTGCCATGGTTACAATCCCCTCCATGCATCATCAATCAACCAAAGGGTATACCCTGCAAGCCTGCTCCCTGGTCATCAGCACACAGCCCCTCTCCCTCTCTGGGTCTAAAGTCCCCAGCTGTTCCATCTCTCCACATCATCATCTCTGCTTCCATCCTCTGACGTTACTGCTTCTCTGGGTAGGGTCCCGCTCTCCACTTTTGTCCCTTCATGATCTCAGGGACCTCCATTCCTATACTGCAAAGTCAATCACTCCCCTCCTTTTGCTACAAAATGTCTACCTTTACATTTCCAACCTTCACAGTCAGTTCTTATAACAGTTATTCACTGTTGTATCACAAGAGACCTATCTCCTTCTCCTTTCATCAGCCCCACTCAGACAGATTGGATACTACTCAGTGGACATTCTACCTTCCTCCGCGCCCTCTGGTTCTAGGCTCCCTCTTGAAAGCTTGTAAGCCAGTCACTTCTTGCTTTTGTAGACCCTCTTTCCCATTTGGGTAGCCAATGCAGGTTGAACTTTTTCCTTTAGTACCATCAGTTCTTGATCATATACTATCTCTTTATAAATGGTTGAACATCAACCATTTTGTTTTGGTACAGTGATCCTGTGTATAGCTTCCATCTTCCTTTTTTTTCTTTTAAGTGTTTATTGTGAATTCAAATGATAGTTCACATGGGAGAACATCATCTTTACAACATCATTTCATTGCAATGATTCCAATCTCCTCTGTGCATCATCGTTCAACAGTATTTGTTTCCATTCCTTCTGTTTTTTGTTTTATTTTTGGGAGGGGAGGGAGACAGGGGATGTACACAGCAACACTCAGGAATATATAATAATTTAAACAACCATAGGACACATT